CGGCAAAACACAACCACATTTCTCGCGGCGCTGGTATGCATGGATGACGAAGGCATGCTTGGATAATCAAAGGTTTTTAAATTCCCTTTGGTGGGTACTTACGGAGGAGGGTCGACTGTTTGTGTAAGCAAACATACCTCATAGTGGTATTTGCAAATGAAATCCAGAGTATGAGTGTCTCTAACGTCAAAAGAGCCATCCCACATGTATACATAGCGCCGGTTATGTGTCATAGCTAGATAGCTGAATACACATTAAATGATTTAAAAAAAAAAAAAGCTACATGTCGCTGGTGCTGATCCCGTAAATGATGGAAACTCGCTTGACGAGATCGGTGAATATAGTGCTGTATGCTCAGTGTGAAAATTGTAAGCATCATTTTAATCATTAAACTTCGACTAGGTCTCGTAAAAGTGGTCATAACGCCGTGGGTTATGGGTAACATTCCAAGAAAGACCCTAGTCTTTACCAGGGCTATGAAAATTTCGGTGTGGCCGATGTACTAGGTTGATGAACTTCAGGTTTACATCTCACCTCTGCCCCCTCAAGTGCATTGCCCATGTTGCAGCGAGGCTATTTCAGCGTAAGCAAATTGAGCTCACAGTAGCATTTCTAATTACAATCCAGATGTTATTAATAAATCGTCCATCAAGGAAAGGAGTAGTAGTGTTGGTTATGTAATCATTATTGTGCTTCCTCAGTCTTAGACTGTACAGGACATGCAGGACCTCTCTGCCCATAGGCCAATGATACCAATGCCAGTAGTTTATCCCATCCTATGTCTCCTACAAGGAAGGCAAGACTGAACACCTGTACGCGATATCCTCTATGAACCTGGGAGTGAAAATTTCACCCAGAGCCAAGTTCAGTCAAATTTCACGGTTCCGAAGAAGTTGGCCCACGAGGTAATGATCCAAGACTCTCTACGAAATCAATCTCTCTCGGAATACTCGAGTGGTATTATATCATAAGCTTTCTATGGCAGTAATAACAATTGGTGGTTAACATATATCTTCGATCCTTCCTTCTGACTTTAGGAAACACGTATACACAGCAGTTGTTCCTCTCTCCTGACGCCATTCCTAAACAGGCAAATCATTACTCATCAACATAATAAGTCATCATTACAATATGTAGGCCGTTCCAATTCCCGACCAGTCCAAAAAGCTATTCAATCTGCATGTAATAAGATCAAGCTGCCCAAAAGAGGGAGAGAAGATATTCGAGCAAATAATAGAAGAGCAGACCTTGCCTACTGGAAAGAGATTTGCGGAGAGGAGAAATCTAACGAGTTACAGAAAGAGGCGCTAAATATTGCAGCATACCTAGAATGGGCGAAATCTTGGTCTACCCCTAAGCGAAGTCGACAGCCCCAAAAACTTGCTACAGTAGATCCTGAAACTTGGAAAGCAGCTAAATTCTATCAATGCCGACATACTGGACGTCAAAGAATAAGTTTCCAGAAAACTCCTCTTACTCTACATAAAAACCTGACAAGGGCCCAAAGTAGCTTAGCAATCCAAATTCGAAGCGAGCATATCGGGCTCAATTCGTATTTGCATAGAAGAAAAGTACCAGGAGTCTACGATCCATGCTGTCCGTGTGGCTACCAATCACAAAATCCCAAGCACATGATAATGTCCTGCCCTCGATGGTCAAATGGAAGAGAGATCTGGAGACAAGCCAAAGACCGGTCCTACGAAGCAATGATAGACAATCCTGGTGATATTAAAAGAATTACGCAATGGATTCTTAGTCACGGTTGGATAGATCAATTCCGCATGACAAATGCAGTCGAAATGCTGATTGGAGAACGAGGCAGGACTGGCACAAGGTTGGGGTCGTTAGAGGGGACGTAATTGGTACATACAGACGGCACTACAGTGTAACTGTGCTTCCTGAAGGATAAATTGCAAATTTCAAAGATACAAATCAGAAAGCTGGGGAGGTTTTTATCTAGAGGTTTCCTCCTATGTAAATATATAGATAGGTTTATAGCCACCTGCATGGGCCCATAGGGCGCCAAATCAGGACAATGAATACAAATCAAAAAATAAGTCATCATTTTTAAGATAATACATAGAAGGTCTTTTTTTTTTACATGAAAGGTCATTAAGTCATTAAGTCATTCGACAACCTCTCCTACCCAACGAGATCGATCTCCACAGAAACCTCATCAAGTTTGCAAGTACGATCCAGTACATCCCTGATTCAATGACCATACCTCTCATCGAAAATTTCCTGGCCTAAGCTGGCCATCAAATACATGCCCACGTCGATATTCACACAAGGCGGAGAAAATAAAGCGTGGCGCAAAAGTCTGGGACTTAGGTCTTTAGGATGGATGTGAGAGACACTAGGAGAAGTTTAGAAGGTGATGTAGAGGATGGAGCAAATATCGACGGGTGTGAAATTCGTAATCTGGGCATGGGGTTTCTACGGATTGGGGTCAGCGCACTATGACTTTGTTTGCGAGAGTGTTTCTGTCAGAAGCGACAAGTGGACAGCGGAGCAGAGGCAAGTAACGAGCCAAGAATGACCACCGGGAGATACCCGTTCTACATCACGCATGAGATGTATGCATGTTCACTCGGCCAAAAGACCAGACAAGAATCATAGGACTCTACACTATCGTTATCTCCACATATATAGATTATGAGGTTGGCATTCCTGACAGTAACTGACACTATAAACACAAGTCAACGATAGAAGGTGCCGTGGTCCACCTTCTAGTGGTGTTCTCTGGTATGGTTTAAGTAGCCTGGGCACCTACTCCACTTGGGAAGGAGACGCCTCAGATCACATATTGCGCGGAGAAAAGTTGATGGATGACGGAGGCATGTCTGTATAACTCGGGGTTTTGAGACGTCTCCCTGGATGGGTATTCACGGATGAGGATTGACTTGGGATGAAGAAAAAGCTGCCATAACTTCGCAGTGGTACTTGCAAATGAAATTCGAGACATGAGTGCTATTCCTTCACATTGAGGCACCTATTCTGTACTTTTCTTTGATATTGTGTAAGAGCTAGATAGCTGCATACGCAATTAAAATCTGATACAAAAAGCAGGGCATATAAGGAAATGGTTAAACTGTCCTTTGCAGCTATTGATGGTGACATGAATTAAGATGATGATTGTGATTGAGATAGATTTCTATATAGTTTATAATACATGATATGCTCAGGTTCATATACCTCGAGCCAAGCAACCAGATTATGTTCCTCCAGATCTAGATTCATCAGAATAATTACTTACTCAGTAAAATTCTCCTAGTCTCAGTTGTGTGTTTAGGATCTTGATTAGGTTTCTAGTAACTAGTCAATGATGTTTGTCATATCACTGAGACATAGTCATGGTTGATACAACAGGTACAAACGATGAGTCGTGCCTGTACATGACGTTGTGATATAGTCATGATCGTCTGAACAATATCAACTCATGAATGAATCATGTCTCTACATGACAGGGCATGACCCTCAATATCTATTGCCAAACATTGAAAATACCAACAAAGATTATTCATTTTAAAATTTTAGGCTTTTAATGTAGGTTTAGAAGTTCTTCATAGTCACAGATTCAGTAGGGACTTTGATTAAATACTATTCTTGTCGCAACACTATTTTGGGATGTGCATGGGTCAGGAGAGAGATCGCAATTTGTTGATAGTTAGTCACGTGAATCGGTGCAGCTTGGCGTGTCGCCCTTAAGGCTCACACGTCTGTGTGCAAGAAATAGAAGAACAAGAATCACCACATCAAAGAGAGGAGGACGAAGGCTGAACACCTGTCAGCGGTGCCCTCTACGAAGCTGGGAGTGAAATATTCTGCCAGAGCCGAGAATCAGTCACGAAAAAGGGTGGGATGAATTTTATTTGATGGACTGTCGACTTGAAGGAGTTGCACTCGATATTTTGGTCGAAAAATCAGTCGGCAAAGATTTCACAGCCAGAACAAAATCGAACAAAAACTCATCACCACCAACATACGATTCACGAATGAGCCTAGGTCTATCTGAGAGTTGTATTCAAACATCTGACATCTCTCAAACTCCTTATATATTTGCGACGATCCATTTCTCAGCCGATCTCACACCTGCGACCCACCTCTATACTCGTCACGTCACCTAACTACACACGTCTTAATGAGGAAAGTCATGATGGAAAAAGGACGTGTGCAAAGGAGGAACAAAAGGGAAGATACACCGAGGGGATTACACAAATCCCCAATGACGACAACAACCCGACGGCACGATATGAAGGTGCAAGGCTAGAGCAAGGATGAAATCTTGGACGGCATTTATATTTCGGAATCAATGAGGATGTCAAGGGCTCGGGCGCGTGGTGGCCGAGGCTGAGGAGGAATATGCGCTTGGGCGCGTCAAAAGAGGGTTCTCTGGACGGTTTGGCTTGACATGATTCAACACATGGGTGAAGTCTGAGGTGGTCCGGTCATTTAGGTGGGACGAGGCACTTGTACTTTACGGTAGTTAACCTGATCCGGCCCGGCCCCACCCGTGCTTAAGCTCCAGTAGGAGTGAAACGGGAATCACTATACCTAGCACGTAAATGAACAAAACAAAACAAAACAAAACCACATCAGAGAGAAACCTATTGCGTGCGCGTACACGTGTATTTTACCGACCGACACTGATCAGTAGTTCATAGGTGTGACTACAGAACAGCTAAGTTGAAGAGACAGATCTCTCTACTCCGCGTTCCCTGATTAACTTCTGAACGATCACCAGGAGAGAAAAGTGCTAAGAATACATTGTTAGTTTTCAAGATTGTTGCTGCATCGACACCTTTATAAGGACGCGCGATACAGCCATACTATCCGGCAAACTACAAGAAGATCGAAAGCTACAGCCTATAGACCTACCCTGACCGACGACTTTATTGTTGTGCGTGTTAGTTCCTCTACTGTTGCCAAGATAAGCGTCATTCACGCTTCAATTTCATAATCCACACAGCAACTGCTGTCCAGAAGGAAACCTGATTGAAATGTCCGGAACAAATACTTCAGAAGCAGAAACCGAAAACCGCATCAAGGATTACAAGATTGCGCAGCTCGCCCTAAGGTTAGAAGGTACAAGCATATCCTCTCGTCATTTCGACTCTCTAGACCCAGATTTCTGGGGTCAACCTGTCACAAAATCCTCATCTGCGATAGTGCTTACTACCTATGCCGTCAAACTTCCAACAGATTGGGAGGAATACAAAGAGCATGGTGAAGATCTATTTTTGTTTTTCAAGGAAGAATCTGCAGACTGGACATCAGAAATTTTCAGCAAAATCAAAAGTCCATTTGAGAAGAGATTCCGCGATTATTTCCACAATAACGGTGTCTATACTGGCAAAAAGGCAACAACAATTGGCATTCCAATAACGAATTTACTGAATGCCGAGGAACTTCGAGAATGGTCTCAAGTGACCGAAGAAAATGTATCTGATCAATCACAGCTACTACCACAGCCTACTGTTATGCGAAAGCAAACCATTCGCGAGTCAAGTGAAGACCAGTCCATCTACTCTAAGGCAACAACATCTAGACAAAAAACCCGGTCTAATTTCAGGCCTATTCGTTCCCGTTCTCCTTACCCTCGACAGAATGATTAACCACCCCCTGCACTGTGTCCTATATATCCTCAAAGCCCGAATTTAAGCGCTGCAGTAGACTACAAGCTCTTTGACAATTATATTGACCCACATTCACACGACGTCCCAAGTAAAAGAATCGATGCTAACACAAAAACATCTTTCATCAATCCATGGGATTGTTACCAACGCTATACTGGAGAAGAGTATGATCTACCGAACGACAAAGCCTGATATTTCTTTCAGATATATTACAACCTCAGTATCCCAACGCAGTATTTTCGTTACTTGTTTTCACATATTTTCGACGGCAAGGCGCAAGCACTCTCTTTGAGCTACATCCCAAAGGACGAAATCTTTCACAACTATAACACGAAGATGAAATATCAATGTGATACAAAAACTAACCACCATCAATTTTGCACTGACTGGACAAACATAACTCTTGCTAACTTCCGCAACAAGTCTCCAGATAAACCACATCAGAAAATACTCGACGCACTCTCAATGAAGGGACAGCTCTGTCAGCGAGCTCTCGGTGAAAAGTATGCTGGAGAGAGATACAATTGCGCACGAATGTTATTACGATCTACAAAGGTGTTCGAGAACTGGAGGTTATACTGCTCAATTCAAGGAAAAGTTTTAGTTTCTTCAATACAGAGATGACTTCAAAATTATCAATCAGTTCTTCTTTGGCCGCCATTACAACTCGAATCTCCCCCCTTGCACTTTTCATGGAGTACGTGGTCAAATACGTTTCAGCGACTGCTGTGGTTCCTTCAGTAGACCACATCCTCAAAAACGCTAAACATAGACCAAAACGCTTTGGCTGTTCGTGAGGAAGGCTTTGTAGAGCAACCTGTGACTGAGGTGTGGAAATTGAAGTAGAGATTTGACAGACAAAACCTCTTTGAATTGTTAGTGCTATGGTAAATTTCTTCATATAAAGTGTGGCAATAAAGGGCAGGGGAACTTACCTGCTAGACTATTCTAACGGACAAAACAAACCAAAAAGAAAATTTGCCAGTGTCGCAACACTATTTTGGGGAAGAAAACATCATTTTTGCCAGAAAGCTGCGCAGCGTTCCACGCTGCCCGTATCATCAATTTGACATCGTGATTATGATTTTTACATCCTCATTACCCTCCTGCCATCTTTTCGCTTTCCGTGCTCCAACATGACGAGTGTGGGTGCTGGTGTCAGTAAATCCAGCGGTTTCGACGCGTCGCAAAATGCGACAACGGCATCATCAAACAACGGCGGCGGAGCGCAGATAGCTCCAAAGGATCCTACCTTGGAAATAATAGGGAAGCTATTAAAAAAGGTCAGACTAATTGTGATGGGAGAGATGGATGAGGACGACCTACCAACAATGGAAGACGTGAATGAAGCCGTCAGGGCATTTAATTATCACAAGAAGGTTTGGACAACCATGTCCCAGATCCCATCTCCGATCGAGGAGAGGATGATAGCATTGAAGGAGGTGGTAAAGAAAAGCATCGCGGACGCCGCGCGACAGGCAGCTCCTGTTGTGTCGTCTGGGAAGCCGCTACCAAGGACCTACGCGTCGGTCGCAGCTCCGCAAATGGCGAAAACGGCGGTCAGAATAAGAATCGACGGCGCACAAAACTTGAAGCCTCACGAGCTGCTAACAAAGGCACAACAACATATTCAAGGCGCATACGCGATTCACCAAATGCGAAGCAACGACACTGAGGTGTTCGTCCAGTCGGCGTCCCAGAGAGACGCGGCGCTCAACATGCGCCAACCGAACGAGTTTTAGATTTTACGGCAAGATTTTCCTGTCGAGGTTTCTGGTGTCCCTTTGCGGACTCGAATTGAGGGTGGCAGAGATGCCCAAAACTACGCTATTATCAGGGAGATTGAGATAGAAACAAAGGCTCGAACTCCCGGCCTAGTGATTAATCGAATTAGGTGGCTACACTATGGAAAGGAGCACCAGCGATCGAAGAAAAACGGTCGCAATCGAGGATCAATTGTGTTCAGCCTGCCATCAGAGGCAATGCAAACGGAGGTAGTTCGAAAGGGCCTTGTCATTAACACCATGCTCTTCACCGCGTAGGTGTGGTCACCACGAGCCCAGCCAAAGCAGTGTTACAACTGCAGCCAGTGGGGACACACGCAGGCGTCGTGTGGAAAGGCAGCCAGGTGCGGTGAGTGCGCTGGCGCTCACCAAACTCGGGACTGTCCGAGGAAAAGGGTTTCTTGTGCGAACTGCGGCAAGGAGCACCGTTCGTGGCAGTCAACAGCATGTCGGACCTACCAGGTTTACAAGGGTAGTGTGGAGAAGGCTCGGATGGAGCTGTTATCGAGAACGGCAGATATTTGGAATGAAAAACCAACAATGGTGCCAACATAAACAGTCAGACCAACTGATGATCAGGGATTTACTTTGGTCACCAGTAAAAAGGCTGAAGTACTCAAAAGAGGGCCGGGATGACCACGCAAGGTAGTCGAAGCCCCAGCAGCACCACCATCGGGGCCATCTCTTCGAACACTTCGAAGGCCAACGCCGAGTGAGGAGGTGCCTTCTCTCTTTATTTTTTCATAACGTTAGTCTGATAGAAGGGGGAGTTAATAAATTCTGGGGAAAGTTTATAAAATTTTGGTTGAAAGGAACGACCTCAGCATTAAGCCGGGTCGGTTCAGAGTAGCAGGACATCGGGTTTTGTTTGTTGAAAGCTTTTTCCCTTCCTAACATGGCTTACCGTCTTCATGGTTCTGTATATAGATACCGCATAGGACGTTAAACTAGGACAATGAATGAATGAACACTACTTTGGGATGTGCATGGGTCAGGAGAGAGATCGCAATTTGTTGATAGTTAGTCACGTGAATCAGTGCAGCTTGGCGTGTCGCCCTTAAGGCTCACACGTCTGTATCCAAGAAATAGAAGAACAAGAATCACCACATCAGAGAGAAACCTACTGCGTACGCGTACACGTGTATATTACCGACCGACAATTCTATTAAATTCTGATGCAATAAACAACAAAAAAGGTTGGAACCGAAGTTTATCCGGTCCCTTGCCAAGTGCTAACACATTTGTGGTCAAGCGTTGTTATTGCTTATGTAAAGGGAAGTTTTTTTTTTGTTTTGTTCATTTACGTGCTAGGTATAGTGATTCCCGTTTCACTCCTACTGGAGCTTAAGCACGGGTGGGGCCGGGCCGGATCAGGTTAACTACCGTAAAGTACAAGTGCCTCGTCCCACCTAAATGACCGGACCACCTCAGACTTCACCCATGTGTTGAATCATGTCAAGCCAAACCGTCCAGAGAACCCTCTTTTGACGCGCCCAAGCGCATATTCCTCCTCAGCCTCGGCCACCACGCGCCCGAGCCCTTGACATCCTCATTGATTCCGAAATATAAATGCCGTCCAAGATTTCATCCTTGCTCTAGCCTTGCACCTTCATATCGTGCCGTCGGGTTGTTGTCGTCATTGGGGATTTGTGTAATCCCCTCGGTGTATCTTCCCTTTTGTTCCTCCTTTGCACACGTCCTTTTTCCATCATGACTTTCCTCATTAAGACGTGTGTAGTTAGGTGACGTGACGAGTATAGAGGTGGGTCGCAGGTGTGAGATCGGCTGAGAAATGGATCGTCGCAAATATATAAGGAGTTTGAGAGATGTCAGATGTTTGAATACAACTCTCAGATAGACCTAGGCTCATTCGTGAATCGTATGTTGGTGGTGATGAGTTTTTGTTCGATTTTGTTCTGGCTGTGAAATCTTTGCCGACTGATTTTTCGACCAAAATATCGAGTGCAACTCCTTCAAGTCGACAGTCCATCAAATAAAATTCATCCCACCCTTTTTCGTGACTGATTCTCGGCTCTGGCAGAATATTTCACTCCCAGGTTCGTAGAGGGCACCGCTGACAAGTGTTCAGCCTTCGTCCTCCTATGTAAAGGGACGTCTTACGCTACGCGTAGTTTTATGTTCATGATTGTTACAGTTTGACCGTTGTTTAAGCTTAGGTGGATACCTAAGCCTGTTACTAAGAATTCTTACTATGAGGCTGTATGAGGGGGAGATGAAGCTGAACGAAACGGGACTACTACTCAGGAGGCTGAAGCGTTATTACAACTTAGTGACACCTGGAAATACGTGGCTGGGTAAGAAGTATTGTGCCTAAGTACAAGTCACTAGTCTATAGATTCACGAGGAGGATTAACTCCTATAAATACCTGTTAGTAGTAGCTAGAGTTTGCTTTTCTCCTCATATAGTTTATTAAATCGATTTATTCATCACCAACTCGGTTTCCGTCACAATGATCACCCTTCCGGATCGTCCATCTCCCTAGATAGAATGTCAATTCTGTTTTGGGCACACGTCAGCTAGAAGCTTATGTTCCGTCCGTTCATAACCACTTCAACCATACGACTGCCACACTTCACTGCGAATGCAGGGGAAAAAAATCAATTGGTCATAGTCTAGGGCACTCAAACTATTCACATGCAGAAGACTGGAACAATAAAAATTGGATAACCTTGTATGTAACAGGTATTAGAATATGCAGTCCTAATGGAGTGCACATCCTACAATAGTCTTGGACTTATTGTTACGGTTTGACCGTGGTTTAGCTTAGGCGGAGACCTAAGCGGAGTTTGGGGGCGTATTCGGGAGAGTGTTACATATTATCTTGTATCAAGCAACTAAGTTTCACTTGGCCACATTACATTAAAGCTAGGAAGGAATGTGAGACGGCGAAGTAGAATTGCCAAGTGAGAGAGTCAGCTAGATGGCAAAGATGACGACGGGCAGTGGCGAAGCAATATGTCATTCTCACCAACAGAGTACGTATTGGATGAGCTAGAAGGATGTACAAATAGTCATTGCCCATAGTCGTGGTACTTCTCTCTTCATATAGTTTAATCTTTCTAAAATTACACTACAACCAGCTTGGTTTCGTCACACTTGTAGAGGATGTAAATGTATTTAAAAAAAAAATCAAATGGTCACCTAATCCGGTGTCGGAAAGCACTGGCAACATA